CTTCCTGGCATTTCAGTAGATTATCTCGATGTTTTGCCATCGCCTCGAGATTAAGCTTGTTTTACTACAAATTCAGCTGCTATTTGCTCTGCGCTCAACCGGCACCGCTCGTGTTGTCTCTGTTACAACACGCGGCATTGTATTTCCTAAAAAGTTGCAGGACGGCTCGGTTGCATTTCGACACCACCACCCCCCACCCCCAGCTCGGAAAGCGGGATCGCGGGCAGAGCTAATGCTGAGCGGAACCTTTCCTTGAATTAAAAACCCTTCAGGTGTAAGCGAAGCCACTCAGGCTGCCCAGACTCTGGCAATCGGTAAGAGCAATGACATGCCGAGTGGGAACGTTCCCAACAGCTTTAAGCAAGAAAAAGCAGCATCAGTGGACATAAAATTAGCCTGATATGCAATACTTTGGGATGCACGTGTGCTCTTTTGCTCCAGCCTAGAGACCAGGTAGGACATGACATTTTTTGGTAGGGTCCAGCTCCAAGTGCTACAGAGTGAGAAATTCTGATAGCTTTTGGAGTACGGCGGCAGCAGCTGGCAGAAAGGAGCCTGGGGTGTAACACGGCTCCTTTTCAAAGCACCGTTCCCTCTTTTGAGGCACCGCACGGTGCTGGCATAAAAGGATCTCAGGAAACAGCAGAGCCCCAAAGACAAATGGTGCAAGAGATGAAAGATCTGGAAGGAATTAGCAGCAGGTGTGGGAGCAACAGCTTCTTTCTCCCTCGCCCCAGAAGAACTGGTTGCAGCTAAGCGGGATGCAGACGGAGAAAGAACAGCATTGTCCCCCAAAAAAAAATATTTAAACAAAACCGGGGGGAAAAAAAAAAAAAAAAAAAAAAAAAAGAGGCCAATCCTCCCTCATCCCAGGTTTGAGCAAGTTCCACACCAAGTTTAAAAAATCAGGAAAGAAAGAACGAAGGTGAATTAGCTGCAGGTGGAGCAGGGAAGAGGAAGCAGGAGGCAGCGGGGCCGCCTGCCCAGCGCCGGAGCAGGAGCGCAGGACTCCCAGGACAAGGGACCGCGGGCTAACGGGGAAGGCAGTACCTGGACAGCACGGAGAACCTCCCACGGGGCAGCCAGCTGGCAGCGGACGGCGGGAACACAAAGCTAAAAGCTCGCATACATCATATTTAATAAGAGTTTTGCTCCACCGGCTCTGAGGAAGGACAGCTGCTCTCTGCAACAGCGTCTCATCCCGCGAGGGGCTCAGCAGTACACAGCAAACACTGGGATCTAGCCTCGCTATTAGCGCCCGCACAACACCATCTTTTCCGACTGCAAGCTGGAGAACAGAGTAACTGACAAACCATCTTAAGAAAATTATTTTTATTGCTTTTTTTTAATTATTTCTTTTTTTTTTTCTTTTTTTTTTTAAGTTCTGATGTTTACAGATCCGCTTTTGTTTCTGATAATATAGCTTCGCAGCAATAAAAACCACAACGCAGCTAGCAGAGCAGCCGAACTAAGACCCATAAATACCAGCACAGAAAACAATGGACAACCACCACTATTTCTATACATGAACTATTATTTTAATGTCACATTTTGACAATTGTAAATGGTCTACAGAATGTATGCGGGCAAAAGGCAATAAGTGAGTCTTTTGAAACACTAGATGTATAATAAACAGCGCATTATCAACATTTACATGATTCACATCAAATTGATGACATCCTAAACGTATTCCTTTTAAAGGATAGAGATTTTTCAATAAAATATTACATTTCATTTAATACTCTGGTACAATACTTCATACATTGCAGGAAAAAAATAAATGCAAGGTCTACTCCACCTAGTAAGAGGATCCTTTTTCATTAGTCTTTAGTACTGTAATAAAAAAAAAAAAATCCAAAAAATTTCAAAAAAAAAAAGGCTTGAAATTTTTAATTACGTTTCCCTATTTAAAAGGGGAAAATTAAAACTTAATTGAAATAAGGACATTTCATTTAATACTCTGGTACAATACTTCATACATTGCAGGAAAAAAATAAATGCAAGGTCTACTCCACCTAGTAAGAGGATCCTTTTTCATTAGTCTTTAGTACTGTAATAAAAAAAAAAAAAATCACAATAATGTCATAAATAAACAGGCTTGAAATTATTAATTACGTTTCACTATTTAAAAGGGAGAAATTAAAACTTAATTTGAAATAAGGAAGTTATGGGTAGAAAATCAAAACCTGACAACACATCCTAGTACCAGCTGTGATTTTTCCCATCCCTACAACAAAAAAGGAAACAGGTTTTACAACTTCGTTAGCCGTATCCTAGTTAATTGTGTTTCAAACACACAACTTAAGAGGAAAAAGTAAAGTTTGGTCAGGATTAATAGGAGAACCAATCAGTCCTAACAACAGTTAGCTGAAACGAAAGTGTATGCTCTAAAACATTCAGGAAATGAAGTCTGCAGCAAATTCATGCTGGCATAAATTATTGTGCCTTAGGAGTTGGGTTTAAGTTTCCCTTGTGGTATAAAGTCTTCTACAACAGAACACTTCAGAACTGCATCCCTTTTCCGTGCCATTGATACAGCAAAAGCTTGTAAATCAATGCTTAAAATTTATTTTCTAAAAACTCACTAGAAATACATGAAACCCACATTCATTTATCTCCCCTGAACCAAAGGACATGTCTCTTTCTTGCTTCATCTGTCACAAACCCCAGCCATTGTTCAAAATAATTTTTAAAAATGCTTTAAGAATCACCCCTCTCTTGCTGGTGCATGAAAGGCAGATTTTATTTTGCAAGGTCTCCCCTTTGGTATTCAGCAGGGCCTGACGCTCCGGTTAAGAGAGGAGTATTTATTCACAATCTTTCAGATTCTGTTCCCCGCTCCTTGACATTCTTCCACCATATGCTCCCCAGGATTAATCCACATTCTGCAGTAAGAATTCCCTGGTTCCAAGAAAAGAAAGAAAAAAAGAAAAAAAAGAAAAAAAAGAAAAAAAAAAAGAAATCCTACAGTGGCAGGTTCTAAACAGCTAAAATGAGGTCATAAGAGGCAACTTTATGTTGGCCGTGTAACCGATTGCTGCTTCTACAGGTCAATCTTTTAAGACACATCACATTAACTGAGTTCATAACAGAGCTCAGATTCATTCAGGATCCTTTCCTCACTTCTCTTGACTTTTCCACTGACTTTTCGGTTTGGTGCAGCATAGCTCCAAACCTGAACACGCGTTCCACCTTGCTATAACGTATGAAGTGTAGAATTTGTCTAACTTTGCACCAAGTTTTAGACAAATTATTTAATTGCTGTCAATTGCTCTATACAAATACTAACACTTATAACCGATCCCTGTTCGGCAGGGTGAAGCTGTCAATAGGGACAGGAGAGGAAGCAGGCGATGTAGAATAGGTGTCTCACTACCAAACGAATACATTTCTCTCTCATCATGACTAGAAATTTTAGTTCTAGAAAGGGCACAAGTATTTATGACTGGAATATAAGGCTACGACATAAAACACACATTATGGTATGCTGGTGACAGGAGTTCCAAAAAAAAACAAAACCCAAAGCCTCAAAAGACAAAAAGGACAATCGGCAAAGTAACAAAATTCTGCTAAACATTACAGAAGCGCCTTCATTCAGTTCAAACAAAGTGTTCAAATATTTGATTTTGCAAAGCACTCTCAGGAAAAGGTAATGTAATCTCCCACTTAACCTTTCACAAAGCTGCATTAATTACATTCCGGGCTTTAGCATAATTTCGCTAGTAAGGCCAATAATGCAATTCCATCAGCCCTGCACCCTCGCATACAGCGATTCAATGCAGCGTTCACCATCTGCACCTGCCGTATGAAAATGGCAATAATTCCTTAACGCCACTTGAGTCACAGAACTTCCCCAGAAACATGGAGAAAGACATCGGTAAGACACCACCGGCATTCACTCCCAGGGACCCATTCTGCCATTAACGCACACGCGCAGCTGCGAGCGGCTTCAAGGGGAGCTGCCGGTCCAGATAATTGGACACAGCAAACAAAATGAAGAAACCCAATCAACTGGCGGCTTAAGAGCAGTTCTGCGTTCTACAGTCTCTGGAAGAGGACTTTGTCTCATTGACAACAATCCCAAGTGGTTTCAGACGGACATGATTTTTAATCTAATAGGGACAGCAAATTCAATGCAGCTCTGAAAGGCACTTCAGGTAGAACGGTAATAAACTCCTGCCTGCTGAAACGAACCAGAACAAGCCTGCTGGCCTTCCTGCCCGCGCTGCCCTTTTCGACTAAGGCAATTTTAGTGGATAGCTAGCTTCCCTGCACCGCTTTCCCCCCCTCCCCCCAACTTTAATTTAGCCACTTACACTAGCATAAGGCCTTACCAAAAAACCAGAAGGCTCAACACCTTCTACCTCCCCGGCAGAAGGGGAAAAGGGTTACCTTGCGGTAAGGTAACAGCCTGCCCAGTGGGTTACTTGTTTCACTGGTTTTAATATGCTCGTCAAGGTGTCATCATACAACTTTTTAGAATACCTTAACGCTACAAGTCCACCTCTTGCTTAACAGACGAACACAGACAAATTAACATAAACAGTGTCCTCACAACCCGCTAGGCCACTGTGTCTTTTGAGAGATACAGTAAATTTCTATTTTGGGTAGAGACCATGTAACAGAAATTTTGTTTGATGTAAAGGCTACCTTGCATCATTATTCAAAAACAGCCCATCCAGCCACTCAGCTAAGTCGTACTCAAAGCCATCAGTTATCACAAAAAGCACCTTCATATCAATAACCGCTCACCCCTATGAAACTCAGCCTGAGCTTGAAATGTATTAGGACTAATTTTATCATGTAGGTGATTCTATTCACGCTGGTGATCCACTGTTTTCAAACAATCAAGTATTGTTCCCATCAGTATTTTACATTAGTGTAACGGATTTATCCACATCATTGCTCTCCCACCACCCCCATCCCCCCCCCAAAAAAGAAATAAAATCCCACAACTGCTCAAACAAGGAAAAAACCCAACTAATAGCCATACTGTGAAACAAAAATACTATTTAAAAAACAAATGGATGACAGTCCAATAGGTTGCTGGATTCAAAACTGACTCCACAAAGTAGTTGCCTACCTTGTAGAAACGATTTCCTTTTATTTGGAAAATGAGCAATTGTAAATCAGGTATTGGAGAAGAGAGATATAAACAATCTGTAGATGGTCTTAAGTTTTGCCTACTGTTGAAGGATTAAAACCGTAAATAAAAAGGTACCAAGCCCTCAGAGTCCACCGTTCATGTGAAGCTTCTTCCGCCTCTTTCTTGACCTTTTTAAAAACCATATTCATTTCTGGGAAAGGAAGGGAGAAAAAAAAAATACTTAGGGAAAAAAAACAGCAGTTATTTCTTATGCTGACATTATACATAAGTGTCCAATTTTGACTCAAGAAAGCCTTAAACTCAACCAAAAATCTCAAACCTCGCTTATAAACTGCACAGTACTTTGGCAGTAGAAGATGAGACTGTGTACAGACTTGGAGAAGATCCCTGGGCTAAATGGATGAAACACACAGTCACTAAACGGAAAAGGGCAAACAGGATTCCTGAGGTCTTTGAAAACACAGGGGGAAAGGCGACAAAAGGCTTTAGATTAGAATCCAAAAGAAGTTAATGAACTTAAATTCAAAGCCCATTCACCAAAGTATCAGACACTGGTTATTAGCTAATAACCAATTATACATATTTTATTTTTTTTCCCCATTGTCTGATTGCAAGAACCAAATTATAACAGATATTTAAAACTTAACAAAGAATCTATATTTCTCTCCCAGCAAAAGCAAGGATTGAATTTTTACTAGTACGACAATAATACTACGCCAACCGCTCAGAGCACACAGGCACAACGCTAACATTGCTCATCGCATCTTTTAGGAGGCTGAGCATGAGATTAAGTGTTCTTTGAATCTCGTTATACAGACACAAATCCTTAACGTTGACCAGGATCAAAGATCACTTAGAAAAGACACAGAAGGTTCAGACCGCAGTTGCTACTCATCTTTTGCTAGCATGCAGAATTTCAGAATCCTGAGTAAGAGACTTCCAACTTATGTCACTGGTGAGTCAGGGCATGAAACAAAGGCCAAACCACCAGGCTGATGTTCCACATTGTTTTGAAAGGGTAGACATAGACACAACTCAATCAAAATTAGCGTCTGGAATTTAAATGCCCTAAGGAGGCTGGATTACATGCATTTCAGGCATTAGAAAGTCCTTCCTACAGCTCTTCTCATGGTTCAGGTTTGTGTACGTTTTCTCCTAACCCCACAACACCAGACTGGATACGCACACTCGCTCCTGAACATACAAACCTGCCTTTGCATGGAAGTCTCTGTACATCTTCTCATCTGAAACTTTTCTGCTGTTGCATCAGCCCCACGTTTTCATATACTCTAGCGCTATCTTCTCTCATTCTGAAATGAAACAAATAGTTACAGTCCAGAGAATCTAGTTTGAGAAAACCGCGTTTGTACACACCAATGTAATTCGGTGACAGTTTATTTTGCTCAATTTAGTTTAAGAGCAAAGCATACGGCAACAGTCTAGGGCAGATTCTGTGATAACTCATTCTCATTTGAAGTCCCGGAAGATTAGTTAGTACAGTTAAAAACTTACACACTAACAGAAGCAAACTTACTCTGGACACGTTGGGGTTGGGGTACAGGGTGGAAGAGGGCTCTGATCGCCACTTGTCTGGTCCGATAAAGAATATTTAATGTTTGTGTATTCGTGACCTTTTCTCTTACTCTTCTGTGAAGCAAAACACAACAAAAAGCCGGGTTTTGAATTACTAATAGAAAACAATCAATGAAGTAGTGCAGAAATTACACATAGAAGTAGCCATGTATGCTTTTAGAAAAAAAAGTTTGTCTATGAACAGAAGAGAGCTCAGTTCTGCAGACAGCACACACAACACGGATAGAACCTAAAGGTTGGGCTTACCTATTTGTTACAAGACCTGAAAAGCCTCACTTTTCAATACCCCTCTTTCCACCACCATCTCCAGCAGAACGTACCAACCCTATGAACCAGCACTCGTACACAATCTTCATCTTACTTGGCAGGAGAAACCACATTTCATTCTTTAATAGACGGTACCAGCTAGTGGGCTTCCCACTGACCTTACTTCCAGCTTGGAGATGTGGCCAAATGAGTAACAACGTTGTTCACAAGATCTCTAATAAAATAACATCTTAGCCCATTAGGTTTGATATAAAAAGAATCCAAGCTGTTATTTGTATTCTGCAGCATATGTTACAAGCTGCAGCCAATTTTGCTGGCGTTCATCTAAAGATACTGAAGGCTCCAGCAAGCAAAGCTACACTAGGAAAGAAAGGGGATATGGCTTTCTTCCTTTTCAAGACAAACATTCACAACACACCCATACAGAGAAACCTACATATAAATCAAAGCCTCACTTTAAAGTTTTACAGGTTACTGGGTTTGGGTTTGTTTTGATATTTGTTTTGTTTTTAAATACGCAAACGAGTACTAAATAACTGGCCTGAATCAATCTTGCAACAGAAGTTCTCAGAGCCTCTGGGGGGTTCTGGCTGCTGAGTTTCCATTAAGAAAACTCTGCACAGCGATGTAGGTTGAAGTTTTTCTGAGATGGCCTTCTGAGACTGGCTCAAAACTTGCTCAACTTGTTCTGTTATTTTACTGAACTCCTCCCCCCTCAGCCTCCTACTTACTCCTAACAAATCATTTTCAAATAGAGCACCAGTCCAGATCAATTACCTGGACAGTTCATGCCAAAAAGCAAGACTTGGACAAAACACAAAAGGTCAAACTCTGCTGCACTGTACGGTGTTATGGCTATGAGCACCTCACCTGCCAATAATAATTCCCAAGCCCAAAACTAGGGCTCGATTCCCACCTCAAACCGTGCCATGAATGGCGGTTCAAGTTACAGATGCACTGTACAGTAGAAGCAATTTAAAAAGAATCAGTCAGTTCTTCTATTACTGAAGCTGACTGAAACAGATAAAACAAGCCAAGAAGAAGTAGATACCTGGCTTCTCTTCCTTCCGCTCAGTTCACTGTAATTATCCTTTCTAATTCAGAATAACAGAAATGCGGTAAGAACTACTTGTTTCCTAAATGTAAGACAATACATACATTTCCACAGGAGAAAAAAACAAAGCAAAACTAAAACAAATTAACTTTGCTTTTCCTCTACACTTGTAAGGAGACAGGCAATATTTTACACAACACCTAACTCTATGAAAACTTGAGGCTTTCAGCATTGCAATGCAGGAGGGAAGGCTAGCAGAGCAGGGGAACGTTTTCCTGAATACACACAAAAAGCCAGCACATCCATGTGAACGGATGCAGCTATTCGCATATCCACTCCTTGAGCCCAGCTGGATGTCACCCCTGCACCACAACAGGCTAGCTCATGCCGCTACCTAACTTCTGATCGGAAAAGAAAGCTTGTGTTTGTCCAGACTGAAAAGCAGACAGGGAGCACGATCTCATGTTGTTTCCTACAAAGGTGCCCTAATTGATTTCACCAGGTTTTTTTTCCAACTTTTGCAACTGCAATTAAAGCAAGAGTAGAGAAGAAGGTTCCAGAAGTTAAAGTTTCTCACGACACACAGCGTTCCATTCCCAAACTACCTTATTGGGGTGAAATTCAAGCATTCTGCATAGTACTGTACTACTCAGCCAATTTGATTTTTTTTCTGCTCTATCAAAACATGCTTTGGAGCATTCCCAATTCACCAGGTTTTTTTCAGGACATTAGTTGCCATAGTCACCACAAAGCTTTACTTTTGTCTATATTGTTGTATTCCTATAGCTGCCACTAGCCCTAATTATAGGTAAAGACCTCCTGAAGTAAAGCAATGCTCTATTTCCAGTTTCTTTAACTTCTACACCTGTGCCTTCTGAGCTAGTAACGGAATAGAGGATGAAACACAACTGAGCCCCATCACTACGGGAGAAATACACTGCTCCACGCAATAGCAAAATACTCCTCAAAACTCATTACAATGATCAAGAGAGAGTTACTGATCTACTTTGTAAATGGCAGCAGCAGAAAGAGACCATATTCAAAAAGCTGAGGACACAAGGCTTGCATAATTACACACACAGAGATATGCTGCAGCTCTAAGACAAAGTGAGACAACAAAGCCAGGAAAAGAAGTACACCTGAGGGATTTCTTGTTCTTCACTTTGTGTCTAATCACCATCAGAGCACACAACAGCAGTCCTGGGGAGAGGAATAAAGTCTCTCTATCCTCTCTGCTGAACAGTGCATCAACATCATGTTGGCAAATACAAAATAAGCTCTGCCACACTCCAAAGCAGCAAGAAGCCAGACAAGAGTGCCAAGCCCGAGCTGGCACACTCTATCTCTAAACAGGGATTACATCTCACAGCTGGCACTGCGCTAACTGCGCAGCTCCCCACATCTGCCTGATCAGTTCTGTGGGTTTACCTCCTGAGCAGCAAGCCAGCTGCAGAAAGATACCGAAATTCTGAAACAAAAAGATGATAATCCCAGATGACCAGAGTTAGGGCAGAGAATGAAAGCAACAGTGAGTAGAATGTCAGTTCTTTATTACAAAACAAGGTAACTTCTTGCAGAATGCGAGTGCAATGAAGTACTTAAAAGTGAGGTGAAGGTCTTGTGGTCGTCACCACATATTCCAAAACTTCTCATCTCACGACACCAAATCACTCCTTTAACTGCTTTTTGTTGGATACTATATTGCAAGATCACCACACTCATTCTTTAATCTTTCAGTCCAATATACTTACCTCTTACTAATAAACATGCACTTTAAGACTCAAAAGTTGGTATTAGAGTGACTAGATTTTGAATTTGATTATCATACTTTGGAAATACTGCTAACAAATTTGAAATCTCTTTAAAACTCAACAGAGCGCAAGGCTCTATTAATTAACAGAGCCTTATCTTTTATTCTTCTTGCATAGAAAACTAGATGATATTAAGGGAATTTGAGATCTGGGGTGCAGGGACTGGGAGGACAGGTCCCATACACACAACCATTTTCATGGAAGGTGAACCAGCACTAGCTGCAATCTTATGGAGAAGTCTCTCAGGCTGTTGATTTTCTTCCTCTGCCAGAGGCCAAACACACTGGTTTTATTTTACAGTTTTCTAATTCCACCTAATAGCACAATCTTAAGCATAACGAACTGAAATACAGGCTAATTTCTCTGAACAGGGTTAATGGGTTACAGACCCAGCCTTTTCACGAGGCATTGGTTACACAGACACAGCCGTCCCTCCAAGTCACAGGCAGCAACTGAGCAACTCCGCTCCCTCCCTGTTCAAATGATAACATGTTCCAACATAACATTTTATATGTAGGACAAATATACCTGCTCCTCTTCAATTCTGCGCTGTAGCGTTTCAATGTAGTGCTGTACTGCCATGTAAATAAATCTGTACTGTGCTTCTGTCTGAACCATTCCTGACCGTTGCGATCTCACCATCTGAATGGTCTTTGGAACATCAATATCACAGTCCACACCTGGGAAGAATCATCACAATGTTAAGAAGAATAAAATAAACTTTGTCTTTGGAGGAGAGGTTGGTCTCCTCTTCCAGCAGGAGTCAGCACTGCTGAATGATCTTGCAATGATTGCTAACATTTAACAGAGGACTCGTGCTTGACTACTAATACACCGATCTGTAGAAGTGTAGCATAATGCGGAAAGCTGCCCGGGGCAAGAAAACTGCAACACTTCACACTGTCCCAAGACAACGTTAAATGCAACCTAGCTCAACACACATGTCAATTTAGTGTTTATGGCAGTTTATACATAAATACAACACCCTTCTCCGAAAACAAGTTACTCAAATTCAGCGTGCATGGGTACTTTCACAGCCACACACTCATGAATGATTTTAAAAGAAAAATAAATGATAAAGATAATAAGAAAAAGATTATCAGACTCCTGGCTAATCCTCAGCTGAAAGTTTTCACTATGCTGAACTGGAGCAGCGTTTCAGCACTTTGACTCCAGCTAAGTCAAGAAGAATGAGCAAGTCCCTTCAATGCAAACACACGCCTACTTTGCAGCATCACTAGAATCCCTCTATTCTACGAACACTCCTGTTGTTTTACTGTGATGCATCTGTCAATGTCCCACAGGAAAATAAAAGTGGGGGGAACCTACCTTTTTCTCTGATTATGTCAATAAGAATATCAATCACAATGAAAGTTCCTGTTCGCCCAATCCCAGCACTGTAAAGAGAGAAGGGAAAAAAAGAGTTAATTGTTTTGTTCTTTCTGAACAGACACCAAAACACTAGTCCGAGTAAGAGTCTAACATTAAGAGACACTAGACTTCCAAATTATAGCCAGAGTCAAACCAAGCCACACAGCCAAAAGTAACTAGAGACCTAATCAACACAACATGGAAGAGACAGAGGTTAAAACAGCACTTCTGTACGTCAGCATTTATTAACATCCTTGCATCAGAAAATAAAAATTACAAGGTCAGATCTAATGTTTCCGTGCCTTATAAAAAGTATCTCATTCCTAAGCCAAGACTGAGGAGAGAGCACTCACAGGGCTCTGTGGGATGGGAGACGAGACTTCCCATGATCCTGCACCTGAAATGTATCGAGCCAAGACTGGCACCACCTTCTTATACAACACCAGAAATTCTTACTCATACAGACACGCATACTCTGAAAGACAGCCTGCTTAGAAGGCAACCATTTGACACCTATCTAGAACATAGAATTTTGCAAAACAGAAAACACAAACACCTTGACAGACGGAAAGTCTGAGTAGCTCTAGTGGAAAGTTGTCGTCTTTTAAAGTTTTCAGCTCCTCCCACAGAAAAAAAAAGAAAAAGAAAGAGGGATCCAACAGAACTCCACAGGCCTAGGAAGTCGTAGGAGAGGTACAGTACACCACCATACCTGCAGTGGACCACGACTGGTCCCGCATCAGAAATGCTCTCCTGCTTATGGTGCACCTCCTCTAGAAAGTCGAGTACACCACCAGGGTCACTTGGGACTCCATGATCAGGCCAAGTTCTGAAGTGATACTGCCAGACTGTTCTCTCTGTGTTCCCCTGGAAGGAAGATGCCAACAGGTGAAAACAAAATCCTTCAGATCAAAATCCAGCTAAAAGCATTTATGTTCCAAAGTTGAGGCGCATCAGGAGGTGGCATATCCAACCTGCTACTCGGTACCCACGGCACCACAACTCTCAACGGAGGGAAGAAGCCAGAGCTCTTCCTGGCCTGACAAGTCAATCACACCACCTGCTTCCTCAGCTCCCTCCTTCTCAGGCAGTTGTTTCCAACATTTCCGTCTTCACCTTTAGAAGCCACGGCAAAGTTCTGTCTGAGGGTGACCAACAGCGAGGGACCTTCCGCTGTCATACTCATCATTCCTACCTAGTGGCACTTACCTTACACACTTCTTCCCACTCAGTTCCATCCCATGGACGTACCAACCTAATCCATCCTGCTTATTTGCTTCTTACACAATTCTTTTTGCACCCTGATCCAAATTGCCCCTTAAGAAGGAAGTGCTATTTCGACACTGGTTCACTATTTCCTTCCTCATCTTTTTTATTGCTTCCCTTAAGTGTTCTTTCTACATCCTGGACCCACACAACACCATTCTTCTAGTGCACTCATCTCCGTGAAAAGGAGCAAATGCCTAGCTAGACTTAAGTGCGATTACTTAAAAGCATCATCCCTCTTTCCAAATTTCCTCAAAGCTCTGCAGCCATGCATCTTCTGCCAAAAAAGTGCTTAGGTATAAGAACCTTCAATTATTCCAAGGACAAAGAGAAAGATGTATGGAACTAAACCTGGAGCTTCAAAGAAAGAGACAGGGCTCAATTTATTAATCTCTTAGTGCTTTTATTGATTCCAAAGAAACAGTCTATTTCTGCATTTTTTTGTGTGATCTGCAACCTAAATTAAAAGGACAGAGTTACTACCATACTTACTTGCCCAACTTTAGAAAGCTTAAGTTCTCTTAGTGTGTAATCGTGTGCTGCACTCTCTTTAACATTCCTAACACGCATAACACCATACTCCTTTAGGGAATATTCATCAGGCCAGTACTTGACGCACTTACTCTGCAAGATTAAAAAAAAAGGAGCAATCAGCAAGAAGGCTGGTTCGTAAACTAGTTAACAAATCTATTTCTGAAGCTTTCATTTCTGAATACATAGAAGATGATTACTAGCGCTAACTGCACAGCTAGCTGACAAGGTAAAGGGGTAAAGTACATTTTAGGGGGAAGTTTCTCTTCCCCATGAGAAATGCCAGATGATTTCAGACAAACAGGTACAGGCAATCTCTCCTTTTAGCAGCTTTCATGATCATCTTAGTACCTGCTTTGTCTCAACAGTTTCAAAACCCAGAGATTAAAATACTGTTACTTGTATCTCCACCCAACCACGGGTTTCAAAATACTACAAATTTCCAGTGGAATGCTGCAGCCTTACAGGCTATTCTACAGTCAAAACCCAACAGCCTGCAAAATAAACACAAGTCAAAGGTATAAGCCATTTTTAGCAGAAATGAAACTCAGATGCTTGCTTTTTCATCACTTAGAGCAGAAAGGGCTAACATAGCTCTCTAACTCAATCACCAAAGGAACAAAGACTTGTTCCCTGTGCCAGGGGACTGAAGCCCTCTGAGTCTGTAGGTTTTGAAATGTAGAGCTTTTGGTGTGCTGCTTCTCTCTCAAGATTCTCTTTGGCCAGGGATATATTCCAGCCACTGAAGAATGGTTTCACCTATTACTACTTTCATTTGGTTCTTGTAAAATCCCAGGACAGAGTGAATGCTGTTAGCCTGTGAGCGTAACACAAGTACCTGCAGTAACAAACGAGAAATTATAGGGGGTATACAGATGCAGCTTCCAGCAACAGCAAATGCCGCCAAACACCAAGTACTACAGAGAAACATTTCCTATTTGCAGTTACTACCGCATATTTATGAGAAAACAAGGCAACAAGAAAGTTCCTTCTGCCAACACAAGATATAGTAAGAGATGGTGGAACACATGCTTTCCAGCCTACTTAGGCAACAAGATGCTTTTCTGTTACTTTTGCCCTTCTTTCCCCACCACCTCCAAAAAGGTACGAGCTGAAGAAAAGACGTTGGTCTTGGCATATATCAACATAACTTGACGTTTCAATACAGAACTCGGAACACAAGAACAGTTGGCATAGTAAGTCTCAACAGTAACACACAATGTTAAAACCAGCTTTAGTCTGATAGAGGGGGTGCATGTATTCTCAGCTCAACGGACTGCCTCCAAAACACCACTATTTTAATTTGTAAGTATTTGCTGCTTCTATATTACGTTCTAAAGCATATTCAGAACGCTGTGCAGATCTGAGACGTTTCATAGTTCCTCACTTCCTTAGGCAACGTGCTCTTGAAGTCATCTCTGATGTAGAGGTTTCTCTCCTTCCTGCACAGCTGAATGTATCTTGGCCTGAGATAAAAAGCTTTTCTTTTATATCAGGACTGTTGTTTGAAATTCTCAAAGAAGTGAAACAGGCAGCAAAAAGAAAGAAAAAAAAAAGCAATGCATGCAGCACTGATTAAGTAATAAGACATTAAAATGTTTTATACAGCCAGAGCACAGAAAACAGGCTTAGCAAAATTTGGGAAGAATCATGGAGAAACTGCAGAGGAGCACAGGCCATTCTGCAGGTTATAAAAAAAAAAAATTAAAAAAATAATGTATGCAAGTCAACTCTTCCAGAGCAACCCTGTAACTTATTTCTATTCTTCCAAGAGAAAGATCGAAGAGGAAGGTCACTGGGAAGGAGTAGCACCTCCCTCCTTCAGTGCATTCTCGGGAAGGAAACACAAATCGTGCCCCTTTATAACAGTGATGGATGGGCAGAAGTTCACAAAGCCTAAAAAAATCCCAAGACAGAATCTAACAGTTTGTAGAAACAGCACCAATGGCAGCTTTGATACCTAGATTAGGGAAATTTAAGCCCATAAAATCTACCGCTATTTGTCTTCAGTACATATACACAAAGCCTCTTTTTTTTTGTGGCAGTGGTAAGGAACCCCTGCAATTATCAGTCACCCATAGAAAAACATTAGCTATACTTCCGATTCAGGTTTTTTTGAAAGTGACACTCATCTAATAAGCTAACAACTTTCCATTCAGAAACAGATCATTGGATTATTGGAAAAGGTAGACAATGCTACGTGGAAAAAGCAGAGAAACTTAAAAAAAAAAAAAAGAGAACAGAAACTGTTTACCAAACAGAAAAAAGATGAGAAGCAACATATTCCAAAGATAAAACTATACTGTACACAGGAAGCAGTATGTGACTGTTGACAGAATATCAGTATTCAACTATTTCCTATTCCTGTTTCCTGCCATATGTCATTAGAACCCAGAAACAAAGTAAGAGCCTCAGATTTGCCAGAAGACACTGAATAAGACAAGATCTCCGCACTTAAAAGGTAAAATGGAGGTTCTTGGGATACAGCATTGCAGGAAAATTTCCTCCTTCAGAGCATTAAATACTGCCAGAGCAGCTCACAAGGGGCTCGCAGATTCCTGAGGCTGAACAGGCAGCTGTGCTCACGCAGAACAGGGCAAAGGCCCTGACTTCAGGAATAGAAGTGCTAAATCACACCTGGTTGAGCGATTCCTAACCAGGTACAGTTTCAGTTGTAATCACCAGCTCAGCACATAATGAGAATGTTATCAAATTCAAGCACAGAAAGTAACGCCAGAAGAGAGAACAGCGTTCTAGTAGAGTCTAGTAAACGTGACTTCAATGAGGTGAGTCTGGGGCAATAACTTTCACATTATATTGTAGTTTTTAGGTAAGAAGCAGTATCACCGAAATTCATTCTGACAGAAATAAAGTCCCACGATTCTGATTTTCTAGTAAAGTCTACACAAGCTTAGAAAGCTGAAATAAATGGCAATATTTTTATTACAGGAACAGGGAGTTCACCCCTTCAAGTACACAGAATGCCTGTTTGGCTACATCTTGCATTCCAGTGCCACATTCCCTGTATAATTTTAAAATACATAGATTCACACACAGTAGCTAAAATTTAATCAGTCAACCCTTAAAAAAGGAGGGTACTCTCCTCTCATATCATGAGACCTCCAACTCTCACAGGCACCAATAAAAAAGGACACTCAGCACCTTCCATGTCTCCAAAGACAGTGGTGGCACACCAGATTTCAGCATATAAATCAATATAACCAAATCAGTTTAGTCCTTACTTGCATTCAAATGTCATGACCTTTCCTAAGGGCAGTTTGAGTCTGTTTTTACCTTTCCTCTTTCAACTTCTTTTGTTGTCATAACAATAACTCGAGAATTCTCCTGGAACACCATCCTCCAAAAATCATTCACTGTATTCTGTAGGCACCCTTGAGTAGCAATGTAGCTTTTTTTTGGCTTTGAGTTGTTGCACTTGGTTTCAAACTCAGGCTAGAGAAAAAACAATTTAACAAATGGTGACAAATGTTAACAAGACTAAGCTGGATTTAGCGGGTAGACATGGGCTGTGCCAACAGGACTCCTGCAGGTAGGAGTTTACTTACCATAATAATATTTGCATTGATATAGTCTGAAACGGGTTCATTTGGATCACCATCATGTAGAACAACTCTGGTATGATCAACTGGAAGAATATATATGCATATTAAGCGCTTGCATCCCACACAGTTGTGAACACGCAGCTATTTTTAAGTATCCCCCAGACAGGTACATTTCTTACTGCTACCAGAAGCTATGAAGTTATCAAACTCAGTAAATTAGTTGCTAGAATATTCAACCTTTCCTCTTTTGCCATTTCGTAAGACCAGCAGCCAACTCATAGCAAGCTAGATCGAAGCAAGTGCTCGTGCCCCCTAGTAACTCATAAGTCCATGGACAGTCACGCATTAAGTCAAGGCAAATGGCTGCTGGATTCGCACCATGCAGCTATTAATCCTCTTAAATTTAAGCATTCCACTTTGCTGAATAACAGTTTAGGGATGTGATGCTTTAAAGTGAAAGCTGAAGATACAAAACAATATTTGGTAATCAAAGTATTGGTATCTACAAAGTGCCAATGCTTGAACACAAATTGGAAATTGCGTGGGCTAATACTGACAACATAAGAGGGGAAATTATCACTGAGGAGGAGAAAAAGCACAGTGGTGCTTAATTAACCCTGTATTTACGAGCTAAGAAAATAACGCATATAAAAGTAGCAGGCTTATGTTACAATGAAAGAAATCAATACTTACAGGGTAAAATGTTTTTGTATCTATTTTTGTTTTTGTTTTCTTGACGCTGACCTTCTTTACGACTATAGAGAAGTTTGCATTCTTGCTGCTGTAAAGTCTAAATGAAAACAGCACAAATAAAGTTTAAATTGTAACAGCACAGATAAAGTATGGACTGTTTCACCATCATTATAGCGATCCTTTCTCACAAAAATGGTGATACTTGATTATAATGCCAGACAGTCAGAGAAAGAGAGAGAGGTACTGGGTATCTCCGTTCAGACTTAGTACAGCATTGCTTCCGAGGTATGTAAGAAACACGGGAGCGCGAGTGACAAGGCAAGCTATTTTCCTCCTGATAATTATAAACACCTATGAATTCAAAGCTTCTTTAAACCACAAATATAACCAGCAAGTCCTCATGATACTGTTCTGAGCAAGCAGACGCAAGTTGGTCTCTTAAAGCTTTTAGCTGTAAAACACTGTGCAAGGAAACCGTAAATGGTTACAAAGGAGACCACAACGAAATTTTATCTTTGGAAATCCGGTCATCTTGAAAGGCACGCTAAATAAACCAAACCACACAAGCAGCATTCTACGGAGCAGGTGCAAATAAACATATTTATCACTAGGTTTTTCTCACCAAGCATAAAAGTTAGGAAGGAGTACTATCACATTTCTCCTTTTTGCTGAATCAGGCAGGCAAGGAGTTAAAAAAAAATTCCACTGAACTGGCATTAACTTTAGTACCCATACAGATTAGTAACTAACGCATCCAAAACGTTGCCAACCTGCGAAGGAGTAAGGCACTTCATGAACCACCACATCTCTGCATAAGCTGTCCTGGATTCCTCCAGGCCTTACCGGCTTTCTTCTACTCCTTCAGCTACAGCAAGGCTGTACTAACGGTGCTGAAAGGCCCCCAAAACAAGTCCCCGGGACTACGAAGGCTGTGTTATGGCAACACCACAAGAGCAGATCCTTGCAAGCTGCTGCCGGACCAACTCTAGACAGGCAAAGAGGAGGAAGGAGCGCCGAGAAAACCCAACAAAGCACATCAACACAAGCAACTGTATTTAAGTATCAAGCACAGTGAAAAGCCCTTCAGCAGTTAGAAGCAGAGTATTAGGAAGATATTCTTGTCTATTCCCCCAAACAAACGTCCACACGGGAATGCTACAGTATTTTCAAAGGTATGGATGACACAGGGAAAGTGCCAATGTACAATCCACCACCACAGTCACATAACAGTTTTTAAGTGCTCCAATTATTCTCTCCTACCAACACAAGGCCATTTCACTAAACCAGTACAAAATTTTGCGCAAAATTTCTCATACTACCCTGCTGGGGCAGGAGGGGGGGCTAGAAACAGTGTTATCCGTAAATCATTCCAGTGCAGAAACAATGAATCTGCATGAGGATTTCTCCTGTTGGCAAGGAGCTAATTTCTCGGTTCCTGGTTCACAGTTAATACAGCAGGGACAACACCAATTCCATGCTGCACAGCCATGCTGCTTAGTAGCAAGTCTCCCTACTTGCAATGAAGCTGGACGGACCATAATCTCAATGTCTTTGTTCCAAGTTTTAATCCCAAAAGCACTACTGGCCTGACTAAAAGGAACACTCGGGCTTCGGAAGCTGCTCCCCTTGTTATTACCACCCTTAACACTCTGCACAGATTGCTTTTACTTTGAAGCTTGGGCATGTCAGGCACGTTTGCTCACTTCTATTTCAGTCTCCGTTATCGTTACTGCCTCACTTAGTGACCTTGGACAATTAGGCTCATCCTAAAGACAGGGAAAAACCAAAGAACAAAAGCAATGCAAAAAAGCAATACAAAAGCTGTGAGGTTTCACGCTTATGAAGCAAAGTCAGAAAACACATCCCCATAAAGCACTGCTTGCTACCACTAGCGATGGGTGAAACAGCACCTTGCAGTAAGCTCACCTCCTGCCACACTGCAAGAGTCTTTCCAGTGCCATTATCACTCAGCACCTTCATAGAATATTAACACTTTTGAGTCTCAGCCAAGTGAAACACCAAGCAAAAGAACCAAAAGCTAAACTTTGCTAGCAGGTTAAATAAAAATGGAAACAATTAAGTTTGAGGAAACCGTGGCTTCAAACACATCTTCCCTTCATACAGTTAATTAGTATTGGTTTGAGCATCCCTGAGGAGAGATCCATGAGCAGCAGCGACTTCTAACAGGCCCATTAAGAGATGTAGACAATGCAACAATAAATCTGAAACACAGTCCTCAATTTCACTACAACATCCAAGCGTTAAGCTCACCAAACAGCCATTTGTCAGAAGCAAAAACATTACGACTGTCAACATTTCTGTCTGGTGGTTCACGGGACAAGAGGTACGTTCTTAAATATGCCTGAAGACAAGTAATTTATAACTACCATCTGGACTGCCAAATCATAAACAGCACAGGCAGAGATCCATGGACAACGGGGAGTTTGCTGCCCTGCCTCCTGCCACCAAGGTTGACAGCTAGAGCTTACCTGAGGTGAATGAAAAAGCAGGACACTAAAACTGCGATGAGACTGCTTCGTTTCCAAAAATACAGTGGGAAAAAAAAATAAGATTTAGTGCTGACCTCACTAACGGCAGTGAAGGGGAAAGAGAAGTGGAGTGCCTCACAGGTAAAATCTTTCATTTCTTACGTTTACTTTTTCTATAAGACTTGTGGCTTGCTAGCAAATACCCTTCTTCAGGAAAGTCACACGCCAGGAAAACACCTTGCTGCAAAGGAGCAACTGGTAAATCCATTACTAGACAAATTTATTCAACAAAGAGCAAAGGTCAGAAAGTAAGTCATCAGTGTCAAGTAACAGTTTGGTCATACTTTGACAAATCAACAATCCATTCCTAAAAGCACCACACGAGAGTGCTTCCCTCAAGGAAAAATAAAAAACAACCATTAATTCACACAGCTTTTAGTAAGTCAGCACCAATGACAAGAAGGGCAAGCCAACAGGGCACATTTTTGCCTTTTTATGCCCTCTGAATAAGAGTAGGGTATGCTTATGAGCCTCCAAGGAAGCCAACAGACACCCTTTGCTTGGCTAATGCACAAATGTATGTTCAGGCTAAACCATGCTGATCACAGGCACAATCTACATGACTGTATCGTGATATGATAAAGCACATCAGTAAACCGCTTTTTACAAAGACTGATAATTCCCACATGCAAGTTTTAGCCAATAGAGCAGGTGGGGCTAATCTTCCTGACCCTTCAGGCCCCATATCAAAGTTCACATGTTGAACACTACAAAAGAAGGAATTCAAAGGTTGAAGCCGGTTCACCTGCAGGCAGGGTTCACAAGCAAGAGATGAGAACTGCTCCCCAGGGAATCCACCACTCTCCCATCAGGGTAAAACAGAGTTCCAGGTCCTCAGCAACGGCCAGAGCAGCCTCTGCTGGCTCGCTTCCCCCTCCAGGTGGGAGTCTGACCATTCAGCAGTCCTGGGACAAGGACTGCACCCTGTATACTGGGCACAGCAGAGAAAGCTTAATCCTCATTTTATGATTTCCCACTGTCATGACCTCACCTTCTTGTATTCCATCAATTTTTGTAGTGAAACACGGTCTCTTTGGTAAACGTCTTTTGCATTTCATGGATTTATTTTTCTCCTCCTGACAATAATCTCAGAGCAGACTGGACAGTACATTCAGCTAGTTAATATGTCTGAACAAAAAGAAGAGTTTCTTCAAGAACGGTTGCTTTGCAAATCCGTCACTATTCAAGAAGTTTCTCAAAATAGCATTCACACCCAAAACCAGCCTCCGTCAAAAGATCAGGACTTTCCAGTTTCCTGTTGCCATCTGCTGGTGGAGTTCCAGACTCCACTGTGGTTTTCTTATGTGCGTGCGGTCCATTATATTTAAGATGCTTCTAAAGCTTTTGGCTAAAACCATCACCTGCATGCAGCTGTGAAGTGACTCCAGCTGTCAGAGAAGGGTTAGGACCCAGGCTCGCCTCATGTAGTTTGGAATGTGTTAGTTAATGCTCATATTAATTTGCTCTGCTTGAAAAATTAACTGTTACAGCTGTATTTTCTTTCAAACATAAGTAGCCCCCTGAAATCATTAACGCTTCAAAGAAGGGGAGAGCTGGGCCAGCACAGCTCTGTTACACACACAAGAGGTGTGCAGATAAGAAAGCAGGAAAGGCAATGCTACTTTCTGGGAGGAAAATGGAATTTTGGCTGAAGGCAGAAATGAAACACCCAAACAAAACAAAAATACATCTCCAGGAGTCCAAGGAATACATATAATCAATGTTGCTTCATCTCAGAGCATGCTACCGCTACTACTTCACAATAGTTTTAAGATCCCCTAAAACAGCTATCAAAAACCCACAAACTCAAGGGCAAGAGCATACATTGACTGAGAGATCACACTGAAGTTTCCTTAAAGCAATGGCACCCAACCTCCCAACCACAGCAGAGCGCAAGCCGAAACATCCTCTGCACTGACACACGCAACAGAACGCACGGTGCAACCCCCTTCATACACACAATACATCTGACATACTCCACCTGCACCAGATACCGCTACTGTACTGTACTCGGGTCACCAAGAGTAACAGGCTAGGAATTAGTCCTTTGCCTCCAGAAACGTTAATCCAGCCTACAGACCTCCTCCTGTCCACAGGAAGAAAAAGAACACCAGAATGAACCTGATTAATTGTCCTGGTGGGTCAGATTCGATGATACTGTCCTGGTAGGCCAGATACAGGTGTACATAAGCCTCCCTCGTGATGGGAAGGATATTCAGGAGGGATTGTGCTAGGTACCGAATGAATTAGCATCGGAGAACATAATTAGCTCTCAGAATCAGGAATAAAGGCAAATATTTCAATCATTTTACTAGCAGACACAAGAATGGAACTGGTAAACTTTTAACCCATGTTGTACCTGACGCAGAAGACTGGAGCAAGAACAGGGATCTGAAGGGATGGGGGGGGAGACAAGAAACCATGAGGAAGGCAGTAACAAACCTAACTTTTTAGCAGTGTGGAGATTTAATACTGTAACACTTGGAATGTAATGAAGTACCTCAAATTCTTCCCAGAAGCCCTGCTTGACTTTATCTGTAGTCTCTGCTAGCTTGCTTAGCTCTCGCACTCTGCTTTCAATCTCTGCAGCATTAATACGGGTAGTATTCAGAGGCTAAGAAAGATACAAATATTAAACACAGGTATAACAAATGACAACTGTGAGCAGTTAACACACAAATCCCCTACACTAAGTACATTTCATATAGGAAATTCTAGGATCAAGGCACCTATTTGGACTTCAAAACTTTACAGTTCAAACAACGAAGGGCAGTGAGGGTAGAGAGGAAGGGGGCAGGGAACTATTGCTTTTAGATAAAGTCTCATGGTTGTTCTTCTGTACATTAAGTGGTCCCATTTCTGGACTTGTCCTACAATCCCTATGGACCACGATGAAACCAAGAGAACGCTCTGCATGCATCAGAGACACAAGAGTGTATCCTTCACAGGCATGTCAAAAATTGTTCCCATTTAAATGGCTGACATTGTCATCTACTTTCATTCTTCATTTTTGCATTAAGAAATTAAAAAAAATAAAATGTCTCGGAACACATGGAAATGTGTGCTCTTGAACAATATATGCTGAAGGTAACAAATATTTGCAGCATCTTCTCCACTCACCTGCTTGAGTTGCAATACTGTGCCCAAAGTTTCTACCATAGGGTTCTTCTTGTAATGTTCCACTAGATCTGTCAGAGAGTCAAATTTCTCCCCTCCACCAACATCGTATTTTAGATCCTTGAAAGACAGACAGATGATCATCAAAATAAATGCACTTCAAACGATGACGTCTACTCTAATATCATCTTTAGGCTACACAACATATGAGAAATTCTCTTTGAAACCATATGTAGAAGAATCTAGTAAATCCTTCTGCTAAGGGATGGTAGAACCTTAATAAAAAGAAAGACACACACACACTATGGAGGACATTACCCTTTTTGTCATGAAAAGCCTTTTATCTGCCTTTTCAGGAGAGCTGATTCCTTCTGAACTGAGGTTCAGTCAGCTCAATCAGGCTACCTGAGCTACATGATTAGAATCCAGGAAAGCCAAAAAAAAATAAATATATCTAAAGCCTTGGAAATAAATTCAAATTCCTAAACAAGTATCACTGGGTCCTGACACGCTGGTATTGACTGCCACCATCCCTCTTTTAAGGAAGCAATGTTAAGTTCTTTTCCTCAATGTCATAAATGTTACTAGTAGATAACCGCAAAGCAAAGAGGTTTTCTCAAAAAAAAGAATCTGGTAATTTTGCTTTTACAGTCTTGGTAGGGCATTTCTATCTCCAAAGTATTTCTGTTACTGCATTTTAGTTGATTTTAAACAATTAAGATGTTGCACCATCTTTTAGGATAACAGAAGAAATTTTTTTTTAATAGCAACACATGGCATATATGAAAATATAAAAATACTATAATTTAATAATACTTCGGTGAAGAACTACCTTATATTAAATTCAACCTTTAGATTTAAAACTGTTCCCCAGATTCAATACTCAAATTTTTCACAGAAGGTTGACAATTTATCAGGTGCAACTTTATAAACTGACAGGAGAAACAGATATACTCAGATGGATCTCTATGTGTCCAATTAGTCATATTTTTATATAATTTATCCAGGAGACTGCAACTCACTTAAGAAGATTCATGAACATGAAAGGCTCCGTCAGCAGAGGATTTGAGACAGACTACTGATGCAATCAAAAGCAAATCTATTAGAAGGTACTTGACAGCATAGTATAGCATGACACGATTCAGTCAGGCAAGCAGTCAAAAAAAATAAAACACTAATAGAATTTTGATGCTATCAAATTAGTCAATTCGATCAAACAGATGATAGATAGCACATACAGTACCACAGGGAAAGGGGAAATGTAGTCAGCTCTCTGTAGCGAAGGGGAAGATGGCCCTTCTGTTAGAATAAACCCACTGCCCATGGAAGTAGCCCTGTTAAAGAAGCTCGTGCTTCGTCATACCTGGCAGTGAATCATGACATGTGTCACTTTAGATTTCCCATCATTACTCTCTCCTTTATCATCTCCTGTCCGGACAGAAAGAACAAAGTCCCCAGGGTGGCTTTGACTCTCACGCACAAGAAAGCTTCCATGTTTTCCTTTTTCTGTTAATAGTTTTTCAGCTTCTCTTCCAGAGAGATGCCCGTGAAACCACCTTTAAATAAAGTAAGATATAGAGAGGTACCCTACTGGTCATTCCAGCCATGGCTGAATCCACTTGTTCTAAGTATTTATAATAAAGTAAAACACTTATGCACACTGACCAACAGTGTCCAGGCCCACAGAAAGCCTCATAGTTTATAAAAAGAAAAAACAAAATAAGCCTTGAAAGCGTACTTGTACATACACACGAGTGATTACAGGAACACTTCAAAGGAAGCACTTCCACAAGCACCGAAATTTGCATTTCATGCAAGCCTCAAATGAAGCTTTGATTTGGATCTTTTACAACGGTCCAAATGGATTCCCTGGTGCCCAATAAACACGAGCTTACGCTGCAACCTTTTCCTCAGTCAAGGCATTTATTCTTCTTTTATTTCCTTCATGAGGATGCACTTTCCTGCTAAACCCGTGGGAACTTAGCATCTTTGAGACCTTACCCCTCCATCACATCAGGAACGGGACAGGATAATCACATCAATCTCATTTCTTCAAGAAACATGGCCAAAAAGGCACTAATTCTTCCCACTGCTGTTAAATGCAAGCCATTCCGAGGAGTGAGAGAACTTGTTTTAATATTTTTCCTTGTTTTTTCCCTTCTGAGAATAAACAGGTATCTACTGGCCGCAGAGGTTTATTTATGACATACATATACTTCCTCAGTATACATCAAGTCTAAAGTCTCAGATTCTCCTTATTAGCCATGCTCCTAAAAACACGAGTTTGAGCAATTTGAGGATTTGCATGCCATTCACTTTCTTACACATGTGCCCACTGCTCGAAAAATCATATCAAGTTACACTCAGAAATACATTTGGGAATTCCTCGCAGTAATAACAGCTTCAGGAAGCTTTGGGAAAACTTCTATAATAAAAGATTCTCCCAGTAAAAATAAAGGGAATTATGCCCTCTTTCTCAGTACTGTATCACACCAGGAAGAATGATGAAGAAAATCAATTCTAGGGCTTAGATTGTTTTCCCTTTAATCATGTTTATTATTCTACTTTGCAAGTAATCTGACTGAAATCAGTGGGACCACTTTCAGTAAAAGAAAGTGGTCAGCCTTTCATCAAAGGGAAGCTGACTGTAGCATTAATAGGGATAAATACCCGCATGTATTAAGAAATGTGTGGACACTGAGGGTTTCACCACTATTTCTCTGACCTTTCAGATGTAGGATCAGCACAGTTCAGTGGATATTTCAACTCTATAACATCTCCATTCTTTTCCTTGAGCTGTCCGTGATGTTCCATATAATACTGGACTAACTCAGCCAACGTAGCAAACTTCTCTCCTCCATAGAGGTCATAGTAGTCTCCTGTGTTCTGGATCTTGATGTGGGTGACAGCTCCAGTTCGTCTAATATTTGAAACAAAGGAAAAACCCCGCACAAATCAGCTGATTTCCATACTTACATTTGCATCGCTTCACAACTGAAATATTGCAGAATAACTAAGATAGTGCACCTCTGAAATGTGCTTCTGCCACATTTCAGTGGCTTGCAAGAAGAAAGGAATGTCCAACAGTCAGGTCGAATAAGGAAAAAAAAACCCTCTTAATTCTTCGAGGGATCCTCAAAGCCAGTGTTAAGCTCTGAGGCCTCACGATCTCCAACAGAAGTCCCTCAGACCCCCAAGAATCGCACACACAAGCACAAAGGATGGACGGGTGAGAAGAATTCAGCACTGTCAAAACACCCACCAGAGCTTGTTTGCTCCTTTCCCTAGAATTTCACACTAACTGCTAAGATCTGTCCTTCAGTCATCAGTTGCCTTTGCCTGTTGCAAGTTATTTGCTCCCCAGTTTCTAATATTAATGAAGAACAGCTCTCTGAAAGAGTTCCCTTCTCTTCAACAGAACTTTATCTCAAAATTATCCAAGCAGCATTATTCTTATCACCAATCCCACTTTTCCTTTTTCCTTTATCTACTTCCTCTTGCCGTCCTTTCCCCATCCCTGCCACTATACACACAGTGTCAGGGGACAAGTGTTACAAAAGGCCTATTTTGGAATCTGAAATACCACCACAGTTGCCCTTAAAAAGTTGCTGACTTTTCCTGTAAGAAGAGACCCTGGATAGCATTTCCTTGCATGAGCTTGATCAGTAATTCAGATCATCTCTACTACTTTCACATGGTTATTGAATAGATTTTTAAAGGGCACAAAGTAATGCTATTATGAAACTTCTGCTTCCCCTTAACTTTTCTGTCTCTCTGCAGAACCGGAATTCACTACACTCCAACCTATAGTTTCCCCAAGTTGGGTAGAAGTATTTAAGAACCTCTTCAGGGAAAACAGGAGAAAAGGAAGAGGAAAAAAAAGCCAACAGACTAAAAAGTCATCTGTGCCTTCTTTCCTCTCTTACAAATAGTTCTTTTATAACTCTTTCGCCACAGAACAGCATCAAATGAAGACCCTTACCTATTTAGGGAGAAAGACAAAACACATTTAAACTTACCTAACAGACAGCGTAAAGTCTCCTGGGTTACTTTTGCTGGGCCGTGCCAAAAAACTGCCATCCACTCCTCTTGTTAACAGTAGGTTTTCTGCCTCCACCCCAGTAATATTTGGATGAAACCATCTATAAGAGGTTAAAAATAAAGAGTGCCAATAAATAAATAGAAGATCTTCTGGTTTTCAGAGTTAACTTACATGACAAGACTAAACAGAACAATCCAACAGCTTCAAAAACAGGAGGCACTGAATTTTGTTCCTAAATTAATAAGAATCTTTACCTTAGCAGAACGTATAAATTAATAATTTCATATTGCGTTACAATTTTATGTATTGTAAGAGAAGCTTTGTAAGTGAAAGAGCTATACCGATTCCTACTCAGACTGCTTGGATTAAAATGGTATCACAGACACACAATGCAAACAGAGACCACAAGTCATTTTCCTTACTCCAGGAAGACACGGAACGCACTGAAACTACAAGACAATCAGGAAGAACACTTAGAAATAAACCAAAACAAGTGACGCTTGACAACACTTTAAAGGTTAAAAATTTAACAAAACCTCATGCTTTGAGGCACAGGCTGACCACCAGCTGATAGGGGTCAGGAAGGAACTTGTGGACAAGCTCTTCAGTTGCCCAGTCTTCTTCCACCTTCCTCACGAGAACGTGGTGCTGACCGCTGCCAGGCACAAGAGCACCCCTCTGTCTTCCAACTACCATGGCAATTTCCCTGGTCCGAATATATCCCGCTTAAATACAAACACCAAGGAATCTCATATTGATACTCACCACCCACAAACAGCCTTCTGAATGACTAATATAGTGCCCTGCCAAAGGAGAGCTGTATATGGTCTATATCTAAGAAGCTCAGTGTCCCCACCTATGGTGTTAACTTTTGCAAGGCTTATTCTTAGCCATTCAGTTAACACATCTGCGTTTTCTCTTATCTATAATTAAGGATTTTTATTGCACTCCTGCAGTACTAAACTACATCTGCGTGTTCTGGACGAAAGGAGTTTTTACTGAGGCACAATTTTAGAAGACAAACTTAAAAAAACCCCAAACACAAATTACCACGCAGCCCAGGGACAGTGAAGCGGACACAGCAACTAAGAACGGTTTTAGCAGCTTTGTCAGACTTGTATTTGGCAACTAAACGATCTCTTTTATTTTTCAGAGTTGCCATAAATCAGACCCTACGCAGGGCACAAGTGAAAACGCACAGCCATATCTGCAGAAAGAACACAGGCTACTCCTCTTTGTACACGAGGTTCTTTGTTTCTCCAAAGTAAAGCAAAACATTACATGAAGGCAAAAGACTCTGCAACCAATCTCACTACAGATGAGTGCTGTATCTAAAAAAAAAAAAAAAAAAATTGAATAGCATTTGTGATCATTCCTGATAGAGTCAGCATTTCATGCTAAATTGCTAAAACAGCACAATATGCAAGTACATGTCTAAATTTTCGGTTATTACTTCAATTGTTGCAGCAATTCTTTCTATACTGAAAAATTCACAGTATTCCTACGAAAGCTTTATCCAGCCTATTGTCCTCAGGCACAGATTCTCATGGAAACATTCTGGAGTTTTAGAGATTCTAAAATATCCAAACCTCTAGCAAGTCATTCAAAAGGGAATTAGGATTACTTATGTACCAATTCCATTTGAGAAGTAAATGATTCTTCTTGCAAATCTTGCTTTCTTTTCCAGTCAAGGATATTCTGCTTGCACCAAGAAAATCTAGTGAATACTACCATATCTTTAACTGAAGAACAACAAAAAAATCAAATTCACGCAGCACAGATCATGAAAAAACCATATTAAAAACCACTTCCAAGTTATCACAGCAAATAGGAATGAATTAATAAATAATGCTACGTTTATCTAATGACTACTCAAAGGTCAAGACAAGTTCTGGGTTTGTGCAATCTCACAAAAGAAACTGCACAGGCATCAGTACCTGGGATGAACTGAACATTAAATAATATAGTTCAGAATATGATAGGTCTGCAGAAGCTGATAATATATTTACCACACTTCCAAAATTTTACTTCCATTAGGAGAAAACAGAAAAAGAGTGCAGCAACATTTTGAACAGTTTATAAGCTTTTTAAATACACACCGGATTCAGGAGACATCTTTGCAAGTTCTTGAATTTATATCCAAAAACGTACAAACACACAAAGGAGAAATTCTTAGAATCAGCCTTACATTATATGGTGACATTCAATAAACTTTAATTAATATAATATCAGCTGTATCTTACCCTAAACCCTAATGCATCTGGAAGTAATTGTACTGTAGTTAAAAAGATGTAAAATTACAGAAACATAATAATTTAATGAACAGAAGGGACTACAAATACCTTGTGCTTAAAAGAGAGGTTAAAAAGATGATCGATTGTCTAAAAACCCGCACATATGCATACATTCCTACTGAAGATGGCAAAAAGTAAGTGCAGCAAAAGAAAAGCTGCATCTGGGAAACGGATGGAGTTTATCACACTTTATGCAACTTTTGTTCTAATGGTGACTTGTAGTCCTGCTCTCTCATCTTTGTATTTTTGGCTTTGAGTAGGAAGATGCATTTGTCAGCCACCCCAAATAGAAAAATGGGGGTGTTAGTGATCTCTGTTAAATGGTTCCGGACCGGTGATCAAGATCACATCATTTGAAGTACTGCCATCACATGTGTGCTTTTGAACCTTGGCGGCTACATCCCTTCCAAAACTGGAGGAGAGACCAAAGGGGACTGCAGACACAGATACCGGTAACGTAAGCCCTATAGAGGACTTTCGCTTACACCTCCTTTTATAGGGATGGAATGCATTTTAGACTTTTTTTCTACTTTCCTTCTTCAACCTCTATTACGAGCAGGTGCAGAGGCTATCCCAAGCAAAGGACATCACAGCCAATAAATACAGTCAAGAAAGTAACACACGGAGACATAAACCCACACTCTAATTAAACTAGCTGTCCTCACTATGCGTGGAATACTCCTTACAGCAATTCTGATTTGGGGGCTTCAGCAGCGTACCATTCCAAGTCCCTTATTAGTTTACAGTAAGATGAAAATGTTGGCAGAAAAGTAACCAGTGAGATAGCGGGGGCCTCATTTACAAAACTAAGGGAATATCAGCTAAGCAGGAAACCTTTTGTTGAAGACTAATACATGGTAGGAAATACAGCCTTGCTACAATTCTCTTTTTTTTTTTTTTCTTTTCTTAGCATAGTCTAGAAAAGATCAGCAGGATCTGTGTCATACGCTGCCAGCATATTTCTCTCTTACCAAATTGAAGAGAGAAAAGAAAAAAAATCAATACATTTTTCCATGCCACGATTGGGCTTTTCTAATCACCTTTTCAAGAGCAGGAGAGATTAAATCAGTTCTCAGTCTCAGCTGTCACAACCACAGCAGTCAGGGAGGTGGTGACTGGTAGTTTAATTACTCCTATTTATAGGCTCATCAGTTGATATTTCTCGTCTTTTTTCACTCTCCCTCACAAGCTACAATTTAAACTTCTGAGCAGAACGAGAGGATTACTCCTGTCAACCAGGAAGTCCGCAAGTGTTTCAAAAAGGTAACTTGTACACTTGTTCTGACGTGTGGGTAGGGACATTCAGAAACCCCAACACACGCTAGAGATCATCCACACACTTCAGAAGACCCCAAATCCAAATTCAACTATAAATGGCAATGGACTGAAAACCAGCCCATCTAGTTTCACCATCTTAAGCAGAATAAGAAAGAGGACAACCCAATGTTGAAAAAGTTATACTCTAATAGATATCACTTAAAGAGATGTATCAAATTTCAGCATAGGTATGTTAGATAAGAATATAAATGCCTTTTTTCTTTTTTTATGACAGTAATTCCTTTTAAGTCTAACATTTACCTTAACCTCTCAGCCCAAAAAGGACTGCTAACACTAGACAAACACCAAAACATGTTAAGGACAGTGAGAAGCTACAAGAAACAGATTCAACTATTTATCATCGGGATTTTCCAACGCCACAAGGTTTTGAAGTAAGATTGAACGCTCCTAATAAGCTGAGGGCCCACACCACCTCAGCTGACTAACACTCGTTTTAAAGTTGGCTCCCGCTTCAGTTTCAGCAACATCACTGGTGCTGGACTACTGATAGCCACGCGACGCTCCCCGGCCTCACGTTCTGGTCCGAGAACTGAGTGTGTCCCCACACCAATTAAATCCATCTCTCGGCTCCGCTTCAAACGCACCTTCGGGCGAGGGGAGACTCGCTTCAACCACCACCACCATCTCCCCCG